TGGGTAGTTGCAATGTTAACGACATCCTGAGGAAAGCTTATACAATTGCCTTTTAGTGCTGATTGCGCGGTAGATGCTGAATGAAACGAAGACTGTAGCTTTACAATACAGCTGTTATGACGATAAAGTGCAATGAGCCTCTGTTCAGGAATTGTTAAATCTCGAAGTTCCGATGGTACATCACCAACCCACACCTTGTTCGCAACTGAAAATTTCGGTACCTTTTCTTTCGCCAAAGAAGACCAGCATGCCATGCAAATGTCACAATGAACTGTGGAACGTTTTCTTCTGTCAAACTTATGATGAAGTCCTTTTCGGTACAAAACTATTCCGTTAACACAAATAAATGATGTTTTTGTCGCAGAAGGTTGTATAAGTCGATCTGCAATCAAATAGATGACCTTTAAATACAAAAAGTACATACAGTCTGATCCTCACCAGTCGATAATTCTAAATCGCAATCCATGCTGTTCTGATCAGCTGAATGTGAGCCTTTCGGTTGATCTAAGCCAGAGATTATATTATAAATATCATTATGTGCTTTGAGCAATTCGATTGATGGAATTTTATTATAAGGAACGCATCGAAGATCTCGCTTGTAGCATCGTATATTACATATACTGCAGATACCTTCCTCCAAAGATTGCATTGACATGCATTGAATGAAATTTTTTAAGCAGGTTGTCTTGCACTCGAGATCCGCAGGTTTTGGCCACTCGACTTCAACACTATCTGTTTTTCGATTAATATTTTCTTGCGAATGATGTTGCTTTTGATCAAATGTTTCCAATCGTTCCGCACTTTGTGGTGCCACGATCGCTCGCCTAGTGGAACTTCTTTCACGAGCTAACGCACGCTGTGCTTCGGATTCTGCTGGTGATGCAACAGCCCGTTTAGCCATACTTCTATCTCGAGCTAGTTCTCGTTGACGTTCGATTTCTTCTGATGATAGAGTAGATCGTCTTGCTTCACTTCTTCCTTGTGCGATTACTCGTTGTCTCGTAGCTTGATCCGGTGTCATGGCAGCTCGACTGGCTGCTTTCCTCTCACGATCAAGGCCGCGTTGTCGTTCTATCTGCGTAGGCAATAAAGCAGCTCTTCTAACTGCACTTCTTTCTCGAGCAAGCACTCGCTATCGCTCAATTTCTTCAGGTGTTAAAGCAGCTCTTCTAGCTGCACTTCTTTCGCGAGCAAGTTCGCGTTCACGTTCGATTTCTTCGGATGTCATAGCGATTCGACTAGCTGCTTTTCTCTTGCGATCAAGAGTACGCTGTCGTTCTATCTGGGTAGGCGATAATGCAGCTCTTCGAGTGGCACTTCTTTCTTGAGCAGATATTCGTTTATTTTCGACCGTCTGGACTTCGATGCTTTCGTCACCCTTCATATGCTTGCCTTTCCGTTTAATCTTGTAGCTTGATGTACCATTTGAGTCAGCAGAGCACGTTGAAGATTTTGGTGATGCACTCATTCCATGATCTAGGTCAATAAAACGTGGAACACGCACTGGAGTCGATACGGCATTCTTCGTTGTTGATTTCGTTGGTGTCTATAAGTTCGTAGTGTCTATTATTTGGCATGACAAAAAGTGAGTTGCACTTACGGTATTCGAAAAGGCGACATCCGCCGACGAAAAAGTATTTTGCAGTATAGTGTCGTCTCGTACAGCTAAAAGTGGTACGAAATGGTTTGGGGTCCAGTTGCCAGCATTACAACTTCGTGCATATATTTCACTTTGAGTGTTAGACCGAAGTA